AGCTAGGGCTATGTAGTGAGACCCTGCCTTAAAGAAAAACAACAGAAGTAGAATTTCTAGGGCCATAAAAGAGAATATCATCAGCACACAGGGCACTATAATAGACTGATAGACTGCAGAGAGCTGTGTCTACTTGTTTTTAAATCTACTATTAAATGTGTTAACACCAGTAGAAGATGTGGTTATATTTGCTATGACCTTTTGTCCTCACATTCTAGAAATTAAATTTGATTTTTAAATTTAGAAGCAGAAATTTTCTCTCTACTCTTCCTAGTGAGTTCTTGAAATAAAAACAGTACTGATTTTTATATACTCTAGGTTCACATACCGGTATTTGTTGAAAATGTCTTTTCTGCTGATTATTATCGACAAAATTATGGTAGTAAGAAAGGAAAAAGTGTTTTTTTACACTAAGTATTTTTCTATTGTTGCTAATGCATTGATAAGCTATGGTCAAGTTTGTATTACTTCCAACTAGGGTTAGCTTTACTCCTTCACCTCAGAGGGGGACTTGCCTAGTGGTTTACAAGTTGGAGTATAGTTCTCTAAGATGGAATGATAAAAGACAGTAACTCTTGGTCTCTCCCATGTCTCATCACTTAGGTTACACTAACAGAATGTTATCTCAGGCTTGGTCTCATGGCCCAGTCACACCGTCTCTCCTAGTGTTAAGGTCTTTCCTTCCTCTAAACACCGTCACGTCACACTTTCCCCCTTTGTAAATAAGACATCGTGTAATGTATAGTTAAGGCCTGGCAGGCCTTCAATTCGTTCGTTCTTCTTATGACTTTACAGTTTTTTTGTGTGTATCTGTCTGCATGTACCACACGCATGCCTCATAAGCTGAGTCGAGAAGAGGGTGTCTCCTGGAACTGGAGTTATAGACCATTGAGACATGATAGGGATACTAGGAACTCAACCTAGTTCTTCTCTGCAAGAGCAGCAAATGCTCTTCACTTCTGAGCTATCTCTCCAGCCCCTGTCACTGCTGATTTTGAGCTAATGGTCTTTTTGTCTCCACCACCCCAGTGACTGAGTTGCAGGTGCATATCATTGAGCCTGGTTTTATGCAGTGCTATGGATCAAGCACAGGACACAGGACTTTATGCATGCCAGACAAGCACTCTACCAATTAAGCTACTAGGCCCAAACTATTGACAGTAGGTTCCCAGCTAGTCACAGCATTTGTCTTCATTCTCTGGTATTAACTCCTCGTCACATTGCTGCCGTAGTTCTACAAGTCATCTATAACAGTGGCTCTTGTCCTTTTTGAAAGATAGCTTTTATTTATTTGTGTGGCACTAGGAATTGAGCCTTGGGTTATCATAGGCAAACATTCCAGCTCTTTTAATTACCTTTCCATTTAAAAGACAGGGTCGTGTCAGGCATAGTGGCATATGCCTTTAGTCCCAGCTCTTAGGCAGAGTTCCAGGATAGCCAGAGCTGCACCGAGAAACCAAAGCTGACAGGACTTGAACTTGAGATCCTCCTGCTTTAGCTTCCCTGTCATTGCCACCATCGTAAGCCTTTGTCATCAGGCTCAGCTCTAGTATTTAATTTATTGTGGTCCTTCTATATATAGCGCAGAATGGCCTTGACCTTGTTGCTCTGTTCATATCCTAGGTGTTAGGATTACAAGCATGTGTCACTGTAAGTGGAAGTGCTGCTTGTGTGTAAATCTGATGGAAGTGAGGGCTGTTTGTTTACTTGTAGGAAATGTGTTAAGTGTTTATTTGTGCTTTATGGGCACTGGGGGACACCTTGCAGTTCTTTTACGAATCTAGACTTTTAAGGATACTACAGACTATCTTGGCTATTTTTTTAAAATAGTATCTCATTTGTTTACAATGTTTAGCCTCCTACCCTATTAATCTCTTATCTTCAAAGCATCTCTGTCCCCACAGGGAAACTGGAATAGACACCAGCTATTAGATAACATAGACCTAAATCATTTAACATTTTATCTCTAATACAAAGATTTGTTATGGCTTTATTTTGAAGGGCTTTTTTTCTTTAAAAATACTTATGTGTATACATGTTTTGCCTGCATTTATGTATATGAACAACATGTATGCTTGGTACCCAAAGAGGCCAGAAAGAGAGGGTGTTGAATACCCTGGGTCTGGAATTATAGAAATACATAGTGAGACCCCCATCCAAGAAGGGAAAGTAGAATCCACAGGTGGAGGTGGTTATATCTAATTATCGCAGCCACCGTGAAGCTGCATCACTGGGTCCTACATTTTCTGAAGTGGTTCCACCAAATTATGTTGCATTTGTCACACAAGATGTCCTTATTTTTAAAAATTACTTAGTGAAAAGCCTACCCACAACATACCCATACTATACAAATCAAACACTATGTAACCACCATTTTTTTCTTATTACAGCTATAGAATAACACCAATATCTGCTATTACAAATACCACCAGTAATTCCTTTCTCACAACTTACTGAAGGACTGAGCTATATATAACAGCTAAAAGCCCTTTACCAAGCCGGAGAGATGGCTCAATATGGTTTGGAACATTTGCTGCTCTTACAGGGGTGAGGGTGGGGAACCCAGAGTCACCTTCCCAGCACTTACACATTGGCTCAATTGTATATTCCAGACTGGCCTCCAAAATGAACTTCCTGCCTTGGCTTTCCAAAGTCTATGATTACAGGTCTCCATATCATACTGCTTGTTATTTAAACTTTAGGTGGTTGTTTACTTTTAAATGCTAATTCACTGCTTCCACAGACCCTTCATAGAAGTGCTGCCATATTTTGAAAGATGTTCTTCCCTTTTACTGCAATGCTCATGCCTTTTTACTGCAATATCTACAAGTAGAACTCAGAACCAAACAAATGAACCTGCTTGTTAGCTAGGTATAAAGTATGCACAACAAAGTTTAAAGCTAGGTCTGTACCTAGTTTCCTACTGTCTGTGAAGAGCTTTAGCAAGGTAATGAATTTTATTCAGATGGTCTGTTTTTAAAAGGACCCAGGTTTTATCAGGTCAGTGTGATTGGTTCTTTTCATAGAAAGTTATGTTATAATTTTATGGGCATTTTTTAGGATTGTCATTCTGCATTTTCATAAGTCTTATGCTAAATATCTTGAAATTTTGTATCATGGCTTATATATCAATAGCCTCTAGAACTGGGGTAGTTCTCATGCGTATTCTTTGCCAGGGAGAGGGGAAAGGGAAAGGAAGGGAGAGACACAATGAAGCAAAAGCATTTCCCTCCCTTCCCACTGTCTTACCGAGCTGCCTCTGCCTTAGGAGTGCTATTCTATCATGCAGGCTCCAGCTAGCCCCTAATTTTTTTGAAGCTTCACTTTCTTTCAAAGCAGAAAGTTAAGACTTACACTAATGGACAGATATGTTTCACCTATTTTATTATTTACTGCTAGAGTTTTTGAAGATGATTATTTTAGTAGAGAAAATGACTACTGTAGAGCATGGAGCATTCTGGTCTGATACGATGGGCTTGGGAGGTTTGCCACAGTAGAATGGCTTCATAAGACTTAAGCACTAAGACTAGTGGAAGGTGAGGCTGCCAAAGATGCACTGCAACTCGGTTTCTCCTGTATTCCACAGCCTTCAGTCTAGAGCAGGTTTCCAGGTGCTCCACACTGTTCATAGTCCTGAAGCACCAGTGAGTACTAGAATACTAAGTTTGTGCTGTTGCTGTTTTTCTTACCTGACTGTTAACAACGGAAAGAGTACAGAAATACTGCAGAGCAGTATTGAAAGTGGTGGGGAGAGAAAGCTCCGCCTGTTGGGTTTACCTGTCTAGTTACTGAATGAAGACAAGTTGTTAATTAAAACGAATTGTAATAATATTACTGCCATTTAAGGCCTCAGGGAGAGTGAGTTGCCAAAAGACACATTCTGAAATTAGATTATACTCTTATTTATAGCATGTACATTTTTTAAAAGATTAATTGTATTATTTGGGGTGGGGGTGTAGTTGCTTTGAAACCAGAAGATGGTACTAGATCCCCTGGAAATGGAGTTAACAGATGGTACGGAACTGACCCTACTCCTGTAAGAGCAGCTAGTTCTCTTAGCCATTAAGTCATCTCCTGCCACCTCTCATGTTTTTTTCTGCAGTGCTGGGGATTGAACCCAGAGGGCACCCCTCCCCCACCCACCATTTAGGCTGACTTCAAACACTATTTAGTTGAGGATGGCCTTGGACTTGATTTCTCTCAGCTTTACCAGTAGTGTGATTACAGGTGGAAGCCATAATTACAGGTGGAAGCTTAATTATATAGAAACCTTATCTAAAGTGATGCTAAATAGAATTATAATGGATACTTGTATTTATACTCAATGAAAAGCAAAATGTATATACATTAAAGCCTCTTCAATTCAGGAATTTTTAATCACCTTACAGATGAGGTAGTATTTGTGGCTGTAAAGAGAAGGCATTTTAAAAGTTGACTAGAAAGAAAACTAACAGGATATGCTCATGGTGGGGAGAAGTTTCCACTAGTTTAGATTTAATTAACCTCATTGATCTAAACGGTCCTATTACAGTGTTTGCCTGGACTTTAAATTCACCTTTCTGATAGTGTTAGAAGAGGTGATAAGCCTATTTACTATGGTATTTAAGTGTAGTGAGAAGAGGCATCTGCTTTCCTGGCTGGTAGAGCAGACTGATTTGATTTCAAATAAATGATAATTTCTTAAGAAAATAATTGTTAATTTTATTTTAAATTTTAAAATTTATATTCTTAGCTTATGTGAATATCTTGCCCTCCCTTCTTCTCGACCTCTTCTTCCCTCCTTTTCTCCCTCCCCCCTCTTCCACCTCTCTCACATTCATTCATTCATTCTGAGTTGCACCAGACTTGGTTTATTTCTTTTGGGTTTAATATGGTATATATTTTTATCTCAAAATGTATATTCATAAATTGATATGCTTGAGTATGATTTATTTGACATTTGTTTTCCTTGAACTTTGAAATGTAATAAAATTTAATGTTAATGTTCCCTCCAATTACAGGAGTCAGAAATACCACCAGAGGAGGGATACTGTGACTTTAATAGTAGGCCAAATGAGAACTCTTATTGCTATCAACTTCTTCGACAACTAAATGAACAGAGAAAGAAAGATATTCTTTGTGATGTCAGCATTGTGGTGAGTGGGAAAATCTTTAAAGCTCATAAGAACATCCTGGTTGCAGGCAGCCGTTTCTTTAAGACTTTATATTGTGTTTCAAACAAAGAAAGCCCTAACCAAAACAATACTACCCACTTAGATATTGCTGCAGTTCAAGGTTTTTCAGTCATCTTGGACTTCCTGTATTCTGGGAACCTGGTGCTCTCAAGCCAAAATGCCATTGAAGTGATGACAGTGGCCAGCTACCTTCAAATGAGTGAAGTTGTTCAAACTTGTAGAAATTTCATTAAAGATGCCTTAAATATAAGCATTAAATCAGAAGCTCCAGAGTCTGTAGTTGTGGACTATAATAATAGGAAACCAGCTAGTAGGGATGGCCTGGCTTCATCAAGGGATCAAAAAATTGCCAGCTTCTGGGCGACACGGAATCTTACCAATTTGGCAAGTAATATAAAAATTGAAAATGATGGTTGTAATGTCGGCGAGGGCCAAATAGAAAACTACCAGATGAATGACAGTAACTGGGTCCAGGATGGTTCTCCTGAATTGGCTGACAATGACTCTCAAGGTAAAACAAAAGTGTTTATTTGGAATAACATGACCTCTCAAGAGACTGGCAAAGCAAGGAGGAAAAACCAAACTACAAAGAGATTTGTTTATAATATACCACCAAATAGTATAGAGACAAAGGCAGAAGACTGCTCGGTGATCCAGCCGCCTGTTGACTATCCAGAAGAAAAGAAGGCCCTACTCATCAAGGAAGAGCCAGGTAAGTATTCACAGGTTTCATTCTATTTGTACTTGTTGATGTTTACTTTTTTTTTAATGGGGAGTTTTTAATTATTAAAGTAATAGAACTAGAGATACTTGAATTTTGGGTCTTTGTGTGTATATGTCAGTTTAAGTTTTAGATTGGGTAGTAACTGAAGTACCGTCTCCCAAAAGCATCATTAATAACTATGTAACATGCTTTTTGACTTAGGATAAGGTTAAATCTCTGTAAACACCATAAGATCAAGCTGTCTTTAAGTCAGAAATGTTCTTAATATCCTTAGCTCACTGATTATCAGTTTGGCAATTCAATCAAAAAGAGCTTTCGTATAATAAGTGATAAATTAATAGGTAAATTTATTAGATGCTAACCAAAAGTAAATAAAGTAGTTTTAGGGATTTGCTTTTTGTTTCATAATTTGGAAAAATTTTAAATGGAGCCCTCCAATCCCATCAGTATTACTAAGGAGTGTGGCTCCTGTTTGGCAGCCTCTGCTCTATTTTATGATAGATGGCATTCAGTTGTAGAGTGTAATTAATCACTTTGTCTCTTGAAATTCAGATGTAGGATCTAGCTAACATTTTTTATTTAAACATTTATTGCTACAGAAGTTTGCGAATTCCAAGATGGCTCTGTTTAGTGTGACTCTGCCTATCACAGGTCTCCTGTGATATCACAGACAGGTCTTTCTTACTGTCACCTGACTGTCATTGTCCTTTGAACAGCTTGAGAGGAAGGACTGTAAGCCTGGTTTCTTGGTGGGATTATTTCTTTGGAATTGTGGTTTTTCTTTCCAGGCCATGGAGACCTTTATTTTCAGTATATTCCTAAGACAGTGTATATACTTACTCTTAGCATATCATATCATATTGGTGGTAAAGAACTTTTAATAAACAGTGAAGGACTGCTAAAGATTACAAAGAGTAGACATTTACCTTATTTTAAACTGATTGTTCCTTACTTTGAAACATCATCTGAGGGATTTGACACTCCCTATCCATATTTTAGGTTTGTGCACCATTAGTTTTGTAATTTAATGCTTGTTTACCTCAAAACATGCTTAAGTTGGGTACACTTACACTTCAGCATTTTCAAGACAGAGGTTACCACATACTATTGGAATGACATAACAATAATATTGACCCATGTTGGATACTTTGAAAAGTCTTAGCAATTATTTTAGCAAGCATCTTCTCACCATCTATACCAATGCACCAGGTCTATCAAAAATTGTGGATAGTTTAATTATCTCATCCTAAAAGAAAATTTAATACTTTTACATCATTGGTTGCACTTTGGTATCTGAACTTGCTTACATTTACAAATTAGGTTTCATCATGATAATAAGCTGCATATCAACTGACACTTTTATAATTTGATTAATGTCTCTAAAGAAAAGAGGCAGAAAAATGAGTCTTTCCCACCTAAACAGTATGCAAGGTACAGGAAAATAAGTGGTCAAGCCAGTGTTTGTGGAATTCACGTATAGCTAGCTCATATAGTCCGGCCTTGCTGGTGGGCAGCCCTCCCTGTGAGTTAGAGGTGACTGCATTTTGTGATTGCTCACAAGGCAATTTCAGCAGCCTGTTACTGTTTTCAAACTACTGTTATCAAAACTGCCTAGAATGGAGAATAAGAATGGACATCTTTTACTTGCTTCAGTTTTAATCATACTAGATGAAATCTAAGATCTGAAATTTAGTTACTAATTTATTTTTCAATATTGGTTAAAATGTCGATCAGACCTTGTGGATACTAGGCAAGAGCTTTGCTAGTAAGGTATGCACTTAATCCTTACATTTTTATTTATTTTAAAAAATTCTGACACAGAGTTTTGTATTTTGTTTGTGTATAGCGTAGGAAGATTTTGAACTTGGATGCCCCTGCCTCAGCTTCTGAAGCATTTTGGTATGGTAACTCATAGGGTGCCACAACAACCTGCTTTCTTATTACATTTTCTTTGTTTTGCATGTGCACATATGCAAAGTTACTGCAGTGCACATTTGGAACTCAGGACAGTTTATAGGAGCTCACCTTCTGCTTGATGGATCCATGGGGACCAGCTCAGGACAGCAGATATGGCAGTGAGCGACTTTACACACTCAGCCATCTCACTAACCCTGGCCTCATAGTTGTAATTGGTATCTTGTATACTTAACTTGCCTTCTGGTGAAATTGCAGATAAGTTGGTATTTAGAAAGCAGTTTTGAGGAATCTACGTGCCTTTTTTTGGGAATCCTAATAAAGCATGTATCTGAAATAATTAGTGATTCTAGTTACAGGTAACTTTTAAGTAGTTATATGCTAACTAGCATTTCTGTTCTCCTATACTTATGGTGATAGTTCTCGTTCATTATTACTTTGGGCATTGCAAAATTCTGAAATGCATTCTAAATGTTACACATTCTTAAGAAATTAACACATTTGTTTATTTGTATGTAGATGTGTTTTGCAATTTATGGAGAACTGATTCTAGCCTTCCATGTAGTTCGCAGGGACTGAACTCAGGCCATGTCTTTACCCACTGAGAGAGCTCATTTGCCATTAAAGTGATAGTTTATGATGAGTAGACATGTTTGAGATCTCTCACTACTTTGACCTTGTTATAAGTTTGTATATGAACTGTTGAAAGTATAGTCTTAACCATGGGATTTACCTTGTTTGAGATGTAGGTTTAGGTGTAGCTCTGTTACTTAAAGAATTCCCAGTGTACCGCGTGTGATCTCTCTAATGGAAAGGAAGAAATCAACTAGTTCATGTTTTCTTAAATTTCTTAAACTATTCCTATTTTGTCATGGAAATATTTCTATTGTTGACAGAGTCTGGTCATGTACCTCATAGTGCTTGCTTTAAAAATTGGGCCATGAATTCTTACTGAGCACACATTTTAAAATACTTTTAAAAGAGATAGCAACTATAAGTTGTCTGCTATCTTTTTTTTTCCTTCATGACTTTTGCTCTTGAGATTTTTTTGTTGTGGTTGTTGTTGTTGTTTTTTTATTTTTGAAAATTATCTCAGCTGGTTTTGAACCAATGTTCTTGCCTCTGCCCCCCAAGTGCAAGCTTGGCCTATAGGTCTTTGCCACGTACTCTTATTGCTCTTACTAAAATGCTTAATAAATTGTGAGCATTTTAAATTAAAAAGACTAATTTTTTGTGTGTTTTGCCTGCATGTATGGCTGTTGATTATGTGCATGGTTGGTGCCCTTGGGTCTAGAAGAGAGCCCTGTGAGGGTGCTGGGGGTTGAGTCCACGCCTAGAAGATCAGCCAGTGCCTAACCACTGAGCCGCTTCTGCTGTTTGGAATATCTATATGGGTATGTGTAGACAGTGTGCCCATCTACCTTTTAGTTTTGTTTTTAATATGGTGGGTCTTGTTTGCTTGGCTCCTGCTTTGCCCAATATGCTGGCCAGGAAGTGTCGGGGGTCTGCCTGTCTCTACCCACTATTGGTTTATAAATGTAAATCATGTCCCTGTGCTTACAAGGCAAATACTTTAGTAACTGAGTTAATCACTGTCTAACCACAGTAGTTTGAAAATGTTTATTCTCAAAGCTGTACTCTTTGAAAAATGTTGTAGTATAACAAATGATACTTTCCTAAGAAATTCCCTTTTCACATCAAAAGAAATCTAGAAAAAAAATTGTAAATCTCAAGATAACAAGCACATTGTAGATGTTAAGATTAAGGGTCATTTATCCAAAACCAGTTCCTAAGTAACACTCGATGATACATTGGGTGTGTAGGAGTTATGAGAAAGGTTACAGTGTGGGGAGATGCTCAGGAGAGGGAGAGGAAGCCTGGGAGAGAAGGCAGTGAGGGTTGACAGCAGTGAGGGCACAGTGGCAAGACACTGGAGTGAGGGGTCAGGAAGACGGACGAGGACAGGGAGAGCTGAGGTATGCTCAGTCTGAGACTGTAATTCATTGTGATCTTTGTTTTATGACTTGGGCAACAGAGGTTTTCAAGTAGACATTTGATCTCTTTTAATTAGATTTGAGTTACAGAGTGTACTGAGGAAACTAGTTAAGGACATATTTGTTGGCAGAAATGTCTTTGAATGGTGAGGGAAAAAACTATGAAGTCTAGCATAAGCAAGGGCAGTTGAGTCTGTCACTTGAATCCGTCGTGAGTTTGAAGGAAAAGGGAGCTACAGTCACTAGCATTTACATTTGTGTTGTAAATGAAGTTACCGAATGGGAAAGAGAAAAAGATACCTATGCCTGTTTATGAAGAAAGGTGGTTTTTAGTTCTGCAATTATCTGCAGGCATTTTCATATGCTATACGTTATGAATGATATGTTTATATGAAAATGAAATTTGTGTAGGTCATTTGTATGAGTTTCACCTATTTTGATATTTTTCTGCCGTCAGCTCACATCTCATTTTTTTCAAGAGTATTGGGATCCTAAAGCTGGGCTAAACCTGCACTGCACTCGCAAATGTCGGGGACCTTCCCACAGACAGTGCTCTTGCCTCAGCTCCAGATCCCTAGGCATGCGTGCTGTGACATTGATACTAAGATTAACTCTGATTTGATGGTAGTACCTTGTCTCATAGTGTTCTATAACTCAGTATTTTGTTTAATTAGATCATTTCACTTACAGTTTGACACTGCAGTTTTGTGGTAAATATTTTTAAGACAGTTTTATAAAATGTCCAGACTGGTCTTGGACTTGGGCATCTTCCCACCAAGTTTCCTTATTAGCTGGGAACGTGTGCCATGTTAATTGTGTATGTGTGTGTGGGGGACATGGTGGTAGTGGGGTTTGCTCATTTGGGGATAAGATTATTATCTCCTTAGAGGTAGATTTTGGGTCCAGGTTTGGGGGGTAGATGCTAAGCTGTATCACAGGATACCCCTTCACCACCTTTGTGTGTGTGTGTGTGTGTGTGTTGGGGGGGGTCAGTTTGAAGGAGGAAACAGCAACTTATGTAGCTTAGTTGGCCTCAACTTGATTCTTAGACTCAGTGTTGCAGGATATTTGATCACACTG